TCGTGCTGCCATCATTTTCTGTCTAACCTTGCATTGCCAGCAGCTCACTGGCTCTGGAAATCATTTAGGAGGCAGACTAACGATGCTGCCAGACCCGAACACCCATTGCAGGGATTTGCATGACTTTGGGTCAGCTAAATAGGATTTGTACTTAAGCCATAAGTTATTTCCTTAAGTAACAACTTTACCTTGATTTGCAATAATTTGAAAACGCGTATAATTCACACACACTGCACATTCTAGTTTAATAACAGTCCATGCAGGTATGTTTGTTAAAACGACTGCTGATGAGGAACACAGGACTCATTTTTCTCTTTAAGTGCACGCGTCAGTTTTTGAGTGGGGGCAAAATGATGATGCAAGAGGACTTAAAGGTAATATCAATTCATTGAATGACCTCCAAGGGTTTGCTTTTTAATTATATTTTGTTCATTTGACACAAAGCTGCCTTACAACCTGTAAATGAAATTTACATCAGACTTCATGAAGGTTGCAATTGAGAAAGATGGACCTAATCTCACTATGTTTATTCCTGCACTGCAGCGAGAGAGATGAGCAAAGTCGTTTCACTTGGGTTTTTCTTCACATTCAACCAGCATTCATATAATTGCTTTGAGGCCATAATACCTTCACACTGATTTTATATTTCTGATTAGGTCATCTGTTGCTTTAACAAGTAATCAAATGGACATAATTCACAAAGTGGGTTTAAATGAGATATGTAGTGGTTAAGTGATATAAATAATTTCAATATTTCCATTCATTCATATTGTCCTTACTAACTGGATTCTTACTGGAGGACAATAACAATGTAAAACAGGAGCCCACTTTGCTACATACTGTAATTAAAATAATCTTTGGGGACATGTTTTGCTCTGCAGATTTGAAACTTAAAAAATGCCATAGTCTTGTATTTGCATAATATACAATAAGTCTCACTCAACAAATTTATTAGTCTGGAACCTCGAAAAGCCGTGGCAAAGCAACTTGGGTTTTATAATTGGCATCTTGTGGTTTCCTTTCCTGAGGAGAAAGAGGATTTCACATGCTTTTATAATAAATAGCATATTTAAGCACCCAGGAAATCACTGCAAGACATCTATCCTACATCGTTTCATTTATTCTGGTGTGTTTAATTAAAGCTAGGGAAACTGTGTGTCTGAACAGCGTCTAATGCCTAGGACTGGTTATTAGATATTAAATTGATGCATAATTCAGGCAATTAAGAAAGTAATCACACAAAGTAATGTAATGGAAGTTAATTATTACTGCATAAGCAAACAGTTCATCAATGCTAGTTAAGCGCTGCGACTGCATCCCTAATATGCTCACAGAGCACGGAAATTCCTCTCCCTCAATGTTTTGATATGCCGATTACACAAGCAAGAGGCAGATTAGTGACAACAGAAAGCAGGGATGATCTATCTATCTATCTATCTATCTATCTATCTATCTATCTATCTATCTATCTATCTATCTATCTATCTATCTATCTATCTATCTATCCATCTATCTATCTATCTATCTATCTATCTATCTATCTATCTATCTATCTATCTATCTATCTATCTATCTATCTATCTATCTATCTATCTATCTGTCTATCTATCTATCTATCTATCTATCTATCTATCTATCTATCTATCTATTCTATTTTTGTGTTTTCCTTGTGTAGCGGGATGCTCTGTGACAACACAACCCTTCCTCTGGGGGTTCAAATACACAAAAATCACATAAAACCAACAATTGGGCGGCCAGACGACCCCACGCTCTCTCTCGCTCTCCCGGTCATCCTCTTTTGAAGACACGCCATAAAACAAGACCTTCCAGCCTCTGGTTGTTTTCCAGAGTATACATGCGTGTCACAGTTGACCTTTTTCTGGGGTCAGGCCGCTTTTATATTGGCTGACATGTTTCCAACTTAATAGAACTGTTTAGCGTCGATCCCCAGGGTCCCAATATTTATTAAGCTGCAATGAGTTGCGTCTGTCCGCTCCAATCAAAAGGGCCAATCAGTTGAGGTCAGACGGGTAGTAATGGAGAAAAACAGACATGCAGCACATGCACAGCGATGCATGCTTAACACGGGCAACACAAACACAAAGATGCAGACGTTTGCAGCTTGCAGCATGTATATGCACGCACAGAAATATCTTAAACTGACCTTCTCAGAAGCCTATTTCTTGTTTTTAAATGTACCTTTGTGTCACTGTTAGCCTCTCATCTTCTGAGTAACTGAAGATGAGAGTTAGTTTAAATGTCTGTCAGGGGTTGTTGGAGGTTGAGCAGCATGTGCTCCTGTGCGACACCCTTATTTCTTGTTTTCCAAGTAGTTTCTGAGGTCTATTGATTTACCTTTGTTCACCCAGTGTACAACATCCCATAATGCCGGTCATTTTCTTAGACTGATTTTAAGCTCCTGTCTGGTAATCAGGGATAATTGTCAATTATCACAAGGAGCCATCAGATCAATTACTGCAAAATCAATGCAGCCACTTGACTTCTGCTGCTTCATCTCTTGTAGCAGAACTACCACCTGGAGTTGTAAAGAAGCTTGTGAATTTAAAGACGCATATAAAAAGTAGTATTGTTTTGTGATTCTGAAATATCATTGGGATGTTTTTTTTTTTTTTTTTACAGCCAAGAAGTTGAAATAGTAAAGCATCAAATGCACTTGTTGTTGCTATCACTGTTTTTTTGTTGTTTTCTTTGTTTGGAGCTAATGGAGACAAAACTATTGTTACCTCTTAAACTGAGGGCTCTGTATTATATCTGTTCGTTTTTTATGAGCAAGCTTGAAAGAGACGGCCTCTATTCCTGGTAGCTGAGATGACTTTTGTGATGAAAGTTAATACCGGCAGAGTTCTGATGTCCTTATTTTCCTCTCAGAGGCAAGAATCCACTTTCACCTCATGAAGGAAAGATGCCATCGGCCCGAATGGCTTCCTCCGCGGATGGAAACAAATGTGCTGTTGTAATGGAATAGCCCGGTCCGCAGCCTAATGTATTATCTGCTTCTCAACGTATTTATTTACACTCAACTACTCCACAAATTGTCTTGTCATCTTAATGGGGTAGGATTAATCTGTGTCCATGCAGGCTTAGCCGAATGGGGGTGGAGGGATGGGATGAGAGAGAGAGAGAGAGAGAGAGAGAGAGAGAGAGAGAGAGAGAGAGAGACTCACCTTTTTTCCAACTTTGTTCGAACGCTCAAAGGTAAAGTTGACTCATTGATGTCTATTCTTTAGGATCTCATTCACTTTGGTTTCTATTTGTTCTGAAACCATCAAATCCAACAGAGTAAATGGCACAAAATGTTAGATTTGCAATGCATTGCTGCTTAGAAGTTTATGTATGCTCATTTTACTGATGAGGCCCGTGAGGCTTGTAACGGTGCATTTGTGATTTTTTTTTTTTTTTTCTCAGGGCCAACCAGTAGCGTGTTTCCAAATTAGGCAATCCAGAGTGCTCCTTCCCACAGGAGCAACAAAAATACTTAAAAATTAAGTTATTTTATTGTTCCCGACTGTGACCTAAAGTCAATAGGGATTAAACAGCCTTTGTGCTGTTCGATGGAAGAACTGCATGAAAAAAAATGGCTGTTTATAGTTATACCCAAAATTATTTGCTAGTGTAGTCCAGCCGGATTCATATGAATTTCTTTCTTTTTTTTTTTTTTTTACCAACATGCTTCCTTTGATTGGAAGTAGAACTGATAGTGAAGCTTTGAATGACAAAAAAATTAGGGTGATGGAATTTAAAGATACATCTTCCAAAATCCAGAGGAAACGGGCAAAATATTGGTCAATAAAAATAAGAGGACTTTGATTGCTGTAATGCCAATTAACATTGTTCAATTTATTATCAACAACATCCTGGATTAATTTTATCATTACAAAGACTGGATCTGATGTGAAATTAGTTGATGTCCAAGCATGAACCTGGTTGAATACATGTTTTATTTGAACAGATTAAAGAATGAAGAAGAAAACCTATATCGTCCTAAAATATTTAAAAGGTGAGAGAGGCCTTTTTTTAACCTTGTCTAATGTAGCAATTGCTTCTCCAGTATTAAGTAACACCATTTCATATTGATTTCTTTTTCTTTGGATTTCTGATTTTTTTTCTTGCTTAATATGTTTGCCTTTATTTCAGAATTAAATATTTAAACTTGTGCTCGCCATATAAAACACTATGACTTAGTAGGAACTACTAGCTACTAGGTGTATTTATATCTGCAAAATAAGATATAAATATGCATACGTACATACATACTAGATCACAAATACATAAACACATGTAGCTACATGTGGGCGTAGTTTGTGTTTAAACTCAGCCTAACCCCCAGATTATCCCTGTAAAATCAAACACATTTGCTAAAGAGTTAAGAGCCGACCCAATGAAGTAACTTGAATTTGCTGAACTAGCCTTAATATTTCACTTACTTTGTGAAATCCTCTAGTATCTGTGTCTGCAAAACAGACCCAGAGGCCCATACCTCCACCTCCATACTTGGCAGTTATTACAGTGTTCTTGTTTTGGCTCCTGATAATAGTCTTTTTGTCATTGTTGCAAAATTTTTAGTCTATTCCTCATCAGATTCTAGAAGTTTTCTTCAGGACACATTTGTCTGATCCATGTGGGCAGCTGCTATATTTGATTTTGGCTTCACCCTCTCATTTGATGTCACAGTTTAACTTTTCTGATCCTGATAGCATTACTCTGTGATATTTTGTGATCTTTATATGCCACTGGACATTTAATCAAGTATCATTGGAGACGTGAACATATTCATATTATAAACCGGGGTTGATTAGAAAAAAATCTCGCTTAAAATTCTTCAAGTCTTTTTGTCATAAAATTATTTTATTCCAGACAAACACAAGTTATAATACATCATTTGAAACTCATAATAAATATAGCATTCATGCCCATGATGAGTGTATGTAATCTTCTGACCTGCACTGTATTTGGATTTTAAATTGTCTCTTTCATTGCAGCCATAAAGTGTCTTATTCAAGGACAAACCGTGCAATTCAAAAGTGAGGAAGGACAAGCTATATAAAGACAAATGGTAAGGTCATCATTAAATCTACTGCTGGATCTGTAATGTTTAATACACTGCGCATTGTGTCTACATATTAGATATTGAATCCTTGTTTAAGACGGCTACCCCAATCATGTTGTCCATTTCGATAAATGTCAAACGTGCTGTAATAATTTTCAGTGAATCTTGCAGAGATTGTCATTTACCCGGTGTCCAAACTGCTCATATTTCATCCTCACCTGAAAGAGGCTGCCATTGAATATAATCACACACACACCTACTGCATCAGACCAAGAGAAAACAGAGTGTGCACTTTGTGCACAGCTATTTATATCAATAAGTCCCGTGCTGAGAGGCACAAAATGAGCGTTTAAGCTGCAGGGCCCAGAGAGCGCAGTAGCAGGTGGGCAGGCTGCGTTGAGGCGCCTGGGCTGAGGGGGTGTCCACTCTTTTACAGGTGTTGCCCATCTCGTTGTGCGTCCATGGTTCTGGGAAGGTGTAGGTTTGGGAGAGAGTGGGACAGCTGGAGCTGCAGGCGTTGGAAGAGACAGGGGGAAAAAAAAAAAAAAAAAAAAAGGGGAAGGAGCCTCCTCTCACTGTCGGGGCCTCCGCAGGTCAGTGCCTCTACCCAAAGGGACGGCAGAGCGAAACGCCATCAATTCACAAACAAAGGAGCCACTTCACCCACCACAAAGGAAACATATGTGATAGAGCCGACTCCCGAGCCGCAGCTCACTTTAACATGTCAGCCTCTCCTAATTAGCTTTGTTAACTCCCTCTGCTGTCTGCCCAACTGAGGCCTCTTCCAGTCACACGGCTGCTTTGTGTTTACAAGGGCAAATGTTTGGACCTGCTCCCGAAACAACACTGTAAGATTTTTAATCCTTCCTAAAACAAAACATGCGCAGACCATCACCTGAACAATTATCATGTAACACACGGGCTCCGATGAGTCGGTATTGATATATTGATCACTATTGTGCAAACAAGCAAAGCGTTTGTACGGTTTCACCGCAGAGATTTACATAGCCGTCTCTTCACCGCGTGTCTGAGACGAGTTGTGTTAGATGAAAACAGCTGCTCCTCAATCTTTATCAGAATGTTTTGGAGTCATTACTGGCCAGCCTTCAGACTGTGGGCTGCCATGCGTTACATGTTGCAGTCCGCACTGGGCCTCATGTGACCCCTGCTGCTTACCCACTGGCAGTGCAATTTAACCAAGCTGATGACATGCAGCATGACATCCCTCAGAGAAGCGTCCCACTCACTGCCTCGTTTGGGGGAATCAGATGGAGAGGTGTGGGGGGGTATGGGGGCACGGCATGGTGGGGTGTGTGAACCTCTGGGTAACTGGCTGACCTCTCTGGCGAGAAAATCAAAATGCTCTTTGATTTGAGAGATATGTGTTTGTTTTGTGTCATTTTTTTCAAGCGTATGGCTCAGGAAAATTGAAGGAGGATAAATGTAAAAATTTTCCAGCGTAAAATTAATTTGGCATCTTCTATACTCCATAGATTGTGAGTGAATATCATTATCATAAGCCGAGCTCTGGTTCAAACACGGTGTGTGTCACCTGACAGCTGACACAACACAAAATGTTTAATTTTGTAAGCTCATTTTGACGGTAAGATGGGAGAATGCTTGAATTAGTACAGTGGTTTTATGTTGGCCAAGATGCATGAAGAGAAGACAGCTAAACCAATATTAAAAAAATGCAGTCGCTGGCCCTTGAGTCTGCCAGATAGTCCAGCACTTGAGAAACACTCGGCATAGAGGAGTGTGACTGCTGGCGGCTGAGTGTCATGATCCCAGGATTTCTGCTTTCTCTTTGACAGGAAGGTCTGAAATTTCTGGGTTAAAAGTTCTCCGAGATTATATCTCAAAAGGCTTCTGCGATGATGGCTCACGACAGCCGTCGCTTTTACGAGTTTGAGGGAATACTGCTAAAATCTCTTTAGATTTATTGTGGAGAACTCCACAATAAATATGGGGAATCGTTGTTATTTAGTTCATGTTTGGCTGGTTTCATTTATTTATCGTACTTCTGATCCAGGTAATATTCATTAAAACTACGTTCACTTAGCATCTCTAATCAGGATCTTGGAGGTGTTTTGTTTGTGTCTGGATTTAACAAAGTATACAATGCATTATGCATATTTGTCATGTAATAACCACAGTGAAAGACAGAGTAGCATAAAGAACAGAAAGAAAATCTTACAAATGGGTTTTTATTTCATCCAAAAATATTTAAAAATGCAAATATAAAAATTAATTTGTGATCCTATAAAAAGTTTGACTCAATGAAACAAAAAAAAAAGATCTAAACTACACACATACAGCCAAATCCATGAGATTGACATAACACAAAAACACATATGTGAGTAACTTATATAATAGCTTGGTCAAATCATTTACAAACAATAGGGGAAGCACAGCTAGACATCACTGCTAGCTAAATGCAAATTGACCCAACTAAACCTAAAACATCCTCCTAGCTCACAACCACCTGGAAATCCTGCTGAGCTTCCATTGTGATTTAAAAATCCTCAGTTCAACACTAAAAACAAACCAAAAAAAAGAAACAAAGTTAGTATAACAGAATCTATGTTAAAAACCACACAGTGCTTCTGTTCTGTGTGTGCAATCACTGTTGTGCTTGAAATAATTAAATTCATGAATAAAGCAGCTTTTAATGACAACACAGAATAACCATAACTAAAGAAATGAGAGTGTGGACTGATGTTACCCATGTGTGACAGAGGCTAACACAACCACAAACTTCAATGCATATAATTAGGATTTTATGTGATAGACCAACACAAAGTAGTGCATAACCATAAACTGGAGTGAAAATAATAAAGTGTGGCATGGATTTGCATTGAGTCCCAGTTACTCTAGTCGCACAGAAAGAAAAGAATCCAGTTCAAGTAAACCAGCATCATGATGACCAATGAACACAGCAGACAAATCAGGGGTAAATTTGAGAAGAAGCAATGTTAAAAATCTTTTCAAGTTTTGGACATTTCACAAACTTCTGAAAATAAAACCACCAACTCATGGGCATCCACCCAAACTTACAAGCTGGATAATTGGAAATGAGATAATGGATGGATTTGCAGCTCAGGTGGAATAATTTGTTTACTGTACAACTATTTGTTGTGCACTTTAGATAAAATGTAACTTTTTGACTCGCATGTCAATACCATGTCTGGCAGAACTCTGACACTCTGAATACGCCATCCCCACCATGAGACATTGTGTTGGCAGCATCATGTTGTCGATTTGTTTTTCTTCAGCAGAGACTATGGAGCTGATCACAATTGATGCGCATTGTATTGCTGCATACTTTAAATTCAATCCAATTCACATCTATTCATTTATCACCAGATTCTGTTCAGGTCAATTTAGTTAATTCTAGTGCAGTCCAATCATCACAGTACATAACATTCAATTTAAATTGTAGTTCAATATTTATGTGATGAACTACCTCTGACTGAACTGATGTCCATCAAAATTGTTTTAGACAAAATAAATGTATGCATATTTGTTTTAGGGTCACGATTTAATTTAAAGCGTTCTTTTCTCACAATCTATAGCTGTCGCGCTTCTTCAAGAATCTGAATACGAATATTTACCAAGCAAATGTGTATCAAAATATGGCATTATTCTCTGATAGGTGAAGCATATACTTTGACATGCCTCAGCAGGCCAATGTATTCTACATTCTCACTGTCAGCTATGACAGCAGGCTGCTTTTTGTTCTTCTTCCTCCTTTTTTCCCTGAGCACTTAGAATAAAAATCAAAAAGTACTGTTGTGGAGGAATACCAAGGTAACAGTCTGGAGATGTCTGGCCAAAAGGGATTTGTCCCTCCAGGTAGAAGGTAGGGGTTGGTATGCCCTGCTGTTTTGCATTTTTGAATTGCTTTGCTGCCCAAGCATGCCTCATGCAGGCCGGGGCTCCTGAAGTGTGTCATGGCTTTCTGTGACCGCTGTATGGGAGCCTTGCTGTTAGACTTTACCCAACAAATATGGATTATGTTAAAACGGGCGGCGAATTGACGGGGATATGCTAATGAGTCCCAGATGGGTACGCGAGGAGCGGACAACGGGGACATGCAGGCGCTGTATGGCAGAGCCAGTGTTTGGCAGGTCCATCATTCCGTCATTAAAGGCCACATTATTACTTACAACAAGGCTTGCATGACAATTGCTGAAATAAATGCAGTTCCTCTGAGAGTAGCCTGTTGTGTCCTTCAATTTCTATTTGCTTCTAATTTTTTTTGTCCTGTTTTCTTCATCCTTGCAAATCTGCACTCAGCTGCTGATGCTGTGAATCTTGGTGCTGTGTAAGAGGCTTTGTGCTTACCTCGTTCGAACATCAATAAGACAGCCCTATTACTAGCTGAGGCCATTCATTAATATAATGAGATGGTTTTTGCTTTAATTGATAACCGATTGGTGTTGATGAGACATTATGCACTTGTGGATAAGATATTTCGCTGCATTTTTCCTGCCCTGAACTAAAGCACCTGCTTATTTGTTTTAAAGAGGCAGGTCTCCTTTGGAGCTTTTCTGTTTTTTTTTGTTTTTGTTTTTTCTGCTGTGCACTGGGCTACCAACAAGCTGTCCCCTCTGCGTTATTATTGAACTAAGGCATTAGGTTTTCAGCTGCACAAGCAGAAAGATAATGGTGGCTTATGTGTAAGTGCACATTTGGGACGGCCTTTGTTCTTTTGACATAAACAACCACATAAGTGACGGGATTAAAGGAAGCAACTAAATGACGCAAACTGAGATTTGCACATCATTTAACAGAAAAGCATTGTAGTAGCAATAAAAAAACAAAAACTATTTCTATTCGACTGCAAATACAAAAAAACTTAGTTGCTGCACTGAAATATTTAACCAAAGTCATGAATCATGGTGATTATTAAAAGTATGATGACATAGTGCGATATAGAAATCCAGCTCGGTGCAGTCTGCGTTGCTACGTCTGTCTGCGAAGACGCACATATGGGACATTGTCTAATGAATGATGAGAAATGTAATATTATTGGCTCTGGGCACAAAATACAAATAAAATGAAATGAAAGGGCAATGTGAAACCACTTGGGGGTATTAATTGGTTAAGGGCCATCATGAGTCGGACTGGCTGACAAGATTTACAGAAACAATTGAAGAAGACTCAACCCCTTTCACATAGCTGAGAATAGATGGTAAAATTTTGGGTTTCTACTTTGAGTAGAACATATAGGGTGCTGTGTGTTGCAGTAGATAGTGTAGGAGCCCCATATATGGAGGTTAGATGTCTTTGCACTGCTGCTCTAAAAGAAATAGCTTTAGCACCTATAGGAAGCTAAAAAGCACATGCTAACTTTTGTGTCATTAGTGGCTAACAGTCAGATGCTAATGACTTACAAATTATTTGTATCTTGTCTGTAACTGTATTTTTGCTAAAGACCACCCAAATGCAGTCAGATAAGTGGCTTTAAACCAGCTTAGGCTTCTTTGATGCTTTGCAATCGAGAACTGTTGGTCCAGATAAATGTTTACTTCAAAACTAGAGTCTGAAATTCACCAAGTGGGTTTTAAGGTTTAATAACTCACCTTTACACTTTAACTTTGGCTAATAGGCTACTAAACGCTAAAAAATACTTTCACAAAGTCAAACATTTCTGCAATACTTTAATAGTATCAGTTACGCACTAGTGATTGAGACTTTTACATTATTTCTTAAAACAAAATAGGGGGATAAAACCCTTCTGGATTCAGTGGTCACTGTCATAAGCTGAAAGCCTTTGAGGTATTTAGTGCATCACCTCAAGCAAATTCTAATTGCTACTGATCTTTAGTATTTTGAGAAACAGAATGTTTCTCAAAACTAGTACTAGTTCTCTGACTAAAGTGAAGTACGTTCGGGCGAACTGTTCAAAGACTCCTCTGATCTTTAAGGATTTTTCTGTTCACATACTGTAGAGATGTACTTTGGTGTGGTGTAAATGGCTACTGACACCCCATCCAACCACATCAAGGATTATCATCACAAAAATGACAGAATTAAAGATGTCAAGATTGGCTTTGAACCTCACCCTGGAGACTCCAGCTGGGTGGGTGGAGAGCTGACAAGGGGTGTGGATGGGGTGTTGACATTTGTTATACACCTTCTACATGTTGTATTTGCTGGGGGCATTGTTAGCACTCACCGCCTCCAGCTCAGGATTTAGGCAGGCCCCCAGCAGATGCAGACTGTGCCCCATGCACACACACACAGCCACACAGACACGGTCTCTAAGCGCTCCCGCCTCGCCCCAGCAAGACGAAGAATAGACGCCCAGGGGCAATTCAGCTAGTGTGGATCACTTCAGATGAGGCACATTAAGTGGCTAGTGATAAATTTGGCATGACAATTGCAAACACAGTTGCTTTTGTCTGTAATTAATTCCAGTGGTGCCTGAGGCCTTTCCTGTGTTACAACTGGTGTGGGCCAGAAGTGCTTTCCTAACGAGGCCACATTACAGTCGGGATTATAGCCAACATGAAAGT